CGAAAACAGTTGCTTATGGACAGCCCACCCCCACCCCAAATCCCACCCCTCAAGGACTGCAAACAGGTGCCGAAGATTCTGAGTTCAATCTTGTGCCGGCTTTATTATTTCTATTTATCTCCTGATTTTAGGATTCATTTTATGAACAACTCCAGGTGGGAAACGTAGCGGGACGAAGGCGCCGAGCTTGGCTTTCCATCCCTAAGGCAGTCTCCGGGGGGGGGGGGGGACGACTGCCCCAAATCCCAACCAGCCAGCCCACTCCCCCTCACGAAGGACATCCACCCATCAAGGGGTTGAGAAAACGACTGGTTCCAAGTCACCCGGTCCTTTTTCACGGATAAGGTGAACTAGAACTCCCCGCCTCCTAGTGATGTTGCCCAAAGTTACTCAGCCAACTCACACACACACACACACACACACACACCACAACAGCCCAGGGAGGGAGTCTGGGCTGAGAAAGTGAGTGGTCCAAACTCACCCAGTCAACTTTCACGTCCGAAGTGGGACTAGAACTCCCCGCCGCCTAGTGATTTTGCCCAAAGTTACCCAGCCAGCTTCCCCCTCCCCGCACACACACCTAACAACCACCCAGCGAGGTTGCCCGTTTTGAGAAGGTGACTGGTCCAAAGTTTTCAAGAAGCCGAACTAGAACTCTCCGCCTCCTAGCGATTGGCTCCAAGTCACCCAAGCTGTGTCTAAAAACAGGACTAGAATTCCCCTTCTCCCGATTTTCTAACCTGACGCCTTAACTACTATGCCAAAGTGCGCTACGCCTCTTAAACGTCCATCCTCTTCCCTCCAAACTCAAAAGCTTCGCCTTTCCGGATATCTTCTCCATTTCCCGGATCTCTTCCCGAGTTCTAACTGACCGTCTTTCCCCGAAAACAAGACAGGGTCTTATTTTCGTCTTCCGACCCCCAAAATATGGCCGTGGCCTTATGATCAGGGGTTGCCGGTTTCCCCAAGCGCCTATCCCGCTCCACGCTCACGCGCTTCCCAGCCTCACCGTGACCTGGGAAGAGTCTTCCCACAGGGGACGCTCTGGGAGCGGGCTCTATGGTTGTGGGCCGGCCGCCAGAAGATTCTCTGCCCCGGCTGCCCGAAGACTCGGCGGTATATTTCCCCGGGGAAAGAGGGTCGTTGAAATCCAGGAGAGGAGGAGGAGGAGGACTCCCTTTGGCTGGATCTCTTCCTGGGAAGTCAGGCGGCCTCCGCTTTTACGCTCGTTCTTGGCCCAATCTTGCAAGTTTCAGGCTAAGTCCATTTATTTATTATTTATTAATTAGACTTATATACCGCTTCATAGGCCTTTCAGCCCTCTCTAAGCGGTTTACAGAGTCAGCCTATCACCCCCGCAGTCCGGGTCCTCATTTCACCCACCTCGGAAGGATGGAAGGCTGAGTCGACCTTGAGCCTGGTGAGATTTGAACCGCTGAACTGCAGATAGCAGTCAGCTAAAGTGGCCTGCAGTGCTGCACCCTCACCACTGCGCCACCTCGGCTCTTTAGGGCTTGTACAACTGTTGTGCAATAGGAAGTGACTTGCACATCAGGGTTTCCCTGGCAGGAAAAGCGCAAACCCACCTCTTCTTCCTCCTCTCTCGGCAAACCCCACTCCCTCCTCGAACGGATGATGTTCCCTAGTTGGGTCACGAAACGCCTGCAAGGGAACAGCCCTGTTCTCCTTCTCCTCCTCTCCACAAACTCCTCTCCCTTCCAACACTGAGGAGGTTCCCTCGGCCTGCCACATTGTCCATTATTCTACGGTGCATTTTCTATGGTGGGAAAATGGGACTGTACGGGGTTAGATGACAGGCAGCCATAACAACATCCTTTCTAGAAAACCAAGGCCATCTTTTTGTCTCTGCATCTCTGCACCTGACCGGAACTGGATGGGGGGGATTCTTTCTTTGTGGCAGTGGGAGATTGGACCATGGGATGGGCTTGTGGGTAGGTGGGGGGCAAGATCTTGAACTTCCAACTGGGTGGGGGAAACCGGGAAGCTTTCAGATTCGGGTTTCCCCAGATGTGCCAACGTGTCTCTCTTCATCAGTGGGAACTTTGAGGAATCCTTTGCCTGGGACTCTGATTTAACTTTGGATGCTATTTGGAACCCTGACACCCTAGTTGTTCTCCTCTCCACAAACCCCACTCCCTTCCAACACTGATGATGTTCCCTAGTTGGGTCGTAAAACGCCCGCAAGAAAACCGCCACGATTTGAGAGCGCCAAGGAGCCCACAGTCGTCCTCCCCTCGTCTTCCCCCTCTCCCCAAATGTTTGCAAGGAAACACCCCCCACCCCGCCGGCTCAGAGAAGACCAAGGACTCCCTCAGTCCTCCCCCTCCTCCCCCTGATGGTGTTCCCTAGTTGGGTTGCGAAACGTCTGCAGGAAAACCGCCAAGATTGAAGAGCACCAAGAACCCTCCTCTTCCTCGCCCCCCTCCCGCCAACTGTTCAGGAAACTAGCCGGCTCAGAGAGCAACAAAGACCTCACATTCTTTTTCCTCCTCTTCCTCCTCATCACGCTTTCTCTTTTCCCTCCACCCTGCAAGTCCCCGATGATGTTCCCTAGCTGGGTCCCCGAACGTCTGCGAGGAAATCGCCCAGAGAATATCGAGGGAACCCCACAAAATCCAATCAAAAGAAAAAGACCCCTCCTTGCCTGGATGGCTCCTGTAGGCCCCCGGAGAATTGTCCAGGATGACAATACTGGACAAGTCGTTGTGGACCACCGAAAGGTCTTTGATGTAGCTGCCCAGCTCCAAAGTGCAGTGCTGCGGGGGGAGGGAGAGAAACAGAGAGAGGGAGGAACACGTCAGACCCCTCCGAAGGCCACAGGGCACACGCCGAGCGGGAAGGAGGGCAGCTCAGGAGCCCCAGTGGGTGGGTGGGTGTGCCTGGGGCTCCAGGGGAGGGGAAGGAGTCCCGCGTGGCCACTCACCTGCCTGTAGTATCTCCGCCTGAGGATGCTCCTGTTATTGTCTAGCTTGTCGGCTACAGCCGAGCCATAGATTTCCATGCTGGCTGTGAAGACTACGAGCTCGTACCACTGGCTNCCGCACCGTTTGATACTGGATCACCTGTAGGCAGAACACACAACAACAACAACGACGTCAGGGTTGGGGGTGCGAAAGCAGGCCGAGGACCCAGCCAGACGCAGGGCGGCCACCGAGGAAGGCAGGCCGGGATTGGCCGGCTCCAAGGACCGACGTTAAGAGTGCCGGGAAGCCACGACTCCTGCACTGTGGTTTCCTGAGTGGCCACGGAGACTTCCTTGCTTACTGACACACGCAATGGAGCCACTGTTAAGGAGAGGAGGAAGGAAGGAAAAGGGAGGGAGGGAGGGAGGGGGGAAGAGATAAAGACAAGGAAGAAAGGAAGGAAAGCAAATGAGAAAGGAGGGAGGGAGGGAGGAAAGGAAGGAAAGAGAAGGGGAAGGAGGAAAGGAAAGAGAAAGGAAGGAAGAGGAAGGAGGAGACAGGATGGGAGGATGAAGGAGGGTGGGAGGGGGAGAGGAGGGGAGAGGAGGGGGAGGAGGCGAAGAAGGAAGGAAGGAGAGAAGGGGAAGGAAAAAAGAAAGGGGAAGGGAAGGAAGGAGAGAAGGAAAAGGAAGAAAGGAAAGGGGAAGGAGGGAGGGAAGAGGAAAAGAAAAAGGAAAGGATAGAGAAAGATAGATAAGGGAGCGAGGGAGCAAGGAAGGTAAGGTGAGAAGGAAGAAAGGAAGATAATAGAAACAGAAAGAGGGAGAAAGAAAGGAAAAGGAGAAAGAAAGGAGGGGGGGAAGATGAGAAAGAGAAGGAGGGAGGGAGGACCTCATGCCACCTAGGGCATCAGGCTGTCAATCACAGGGGCCAACAGGGCACCTTTAACATTTAGAAGCTCTGCCAATTCTATTTCTGACTCTGCCCACCAGCTGCTCCTTGGCCAAAGGCTCAGGCCCTCCGTCCCAAGGGCACCCACCCACCCAGCCCCCTCTCCTCTCTGCTTCTGTCACACACACACACTCACACACACACAGTTTCTGCATGCCAAGAGCCCCCCTCCCTTCCCCCCCACCAGTCCCTGGTGCCTCCGGATGGCCCCCTCCCACCCCACCAGCTCTTCTTCCAAAATTAGCTCCCTGCGGTTGGGAAGCCGGCCAGGGTCTCCAGCCCAGCAGGAGGGGAAGGGAAGGCCATGGGGAAGACAGGCGGGGGGGGGGCAGTTTGCTGACTTGGCAAAAAGGAGGAGAGGGCACAAGCTATTACACCGAGGAATGGTGCCCGTATTTGGGAATGGAAGGAAGGAAGGAAGGAAAAAAGAGAAAGAAGAATCAAAAAGAAAGAGAAAGAAAGAGAAAGAAAGAAAAAGAAAGAGAATGAAAGAGAGAAAGAGAAAGGAAGGAAAGAAGGAAGAAAAGAGAAAGAAAAAGGGAAAGACAGAGATAAAAAAGAAAAAAGAGAGAAAGGAGAAAGAGAAAAAGACAGAGAGAAAGAGAAAGAGAGAGGAAGGAAGGAACAGAAAAAAGAGAAAGAGAAAGAAAGAAAAAGAGAAAGATCCAATTGGATCTGGCCGAGAAGGAGGCTCAGCAGAAGCACCTCACTGAGGACTAGGAGCACGGGCTTTCCAAGCAGAGGGAAGTGCAACGCCGGGTGCCGGCGCCCGGAGGCTCAGCGGGCTGAGATGGTCAGCCAGTTCCAGGCCGTGATGCCGTCCCATTGGAACGAGGCCCTCCGGCCTTCGCCCAAAGCCCCTCACCAGGAGACCCCCAAGTCGGAATTTCTGCCCCCTTCCGACCCCCACAAAAAGACCCCCGAAGGGGGGAGACTCCCTGCAGCAACACAGGCACCCGTTGCACGTATCCAGCCCAGGGGTCGTAGTTTGAGGACCCCGGATTGAGCGCAATAGGAAAAACCCAAATAATTTTTCGGCGGACCACCACCATTACTTCGCGGAGCCCAAGTTGGGGACCACTGATCTTGAGAACCTCACCGCTCTCCATCGCAGAGGTTGCCTTTGTGGTCGTCCCCCCCGCCAGGTAACACAGAAAGACAGCCCCCGCCCCCTTCAGAGGTGTAACCAGGCACAAGGGGAGAACGGTGTGTCCCATGCTGTGGCGATGCCGATGGGAGCGTGGCAGCCGAGCGACAGGCCTGGGTGTGGTGGAGAGGGCACAGAAATAGCAGCTTTGGCTATTTTGGGGGTTTGAGAAAGGAGGAAGTAGAATTCCAGCGAAAAAGGAACCACCGATAGGCGTCTTCCTGGCTCCCAAACCCCCATCGGGGCGTTTTGCCTTCTCAAAACCAAAGAGAAGTGGCTTGATTTGCTCAGGAAGTGCTGTGCTCACACCCACGCCTGCCAATGTTCCCCTTAGAGAGGCCAAAGGTGTAGAAGGGAACAGAGCTGGAAGGGGCCTTGGAGGCCTTCTAGTCCAGCCCTACACCGTTGCAGACCAGTGGATGTCCAGGCTCTTCTCAAAAACCTCCAAGGGATGAAGCGCCCACAGCTTCTGGTGGCAAGCAGTTCCCACGGGCTAATGGTTAGGATTACTCCCAACAACCCCCGCTGAAACGTGAGGGAGATTAAAACTTCCGATGAGGCGGCTCATCTGGAGGATCAGGGAGTCACCGAATAAGAGAGCTGGGAGGGGTCTTGGAGGTCACCTAGTCCAACCCCTTATTTGAGCAGAACACACACACACACCATCTATCTATCATCCTTCTATCTATCATTCTATCATTCTATTGCTATGTCTACCTACCTACCTATCATATCTCATCTATCTCTCTATCTATATCTATCTATCTATCTATCTATCTATCTATCTATCTATCTATCTATCTNAAGGGTACGGCTAGCTGATGAGAGCTAAATAGCTTGAAATAGATCTATACTAGTCTCCCTTCGTTTATGCAACACACACATATATACACATCCATCCATGTATGTATGTATGTTTTTAATTTATATATTTCCCCATATATAAATGTTTAACAGGCAGTGTATTGTCAGAGTCAATAGTAATAGCAGTAATAACATTCTTCGCTTCTACGTCATGATATTCTTCCAATTTCTAATTTCTGCCTTTGTTATCCAACCGTCGGCTAAAGAAATCCCAAGTTTAAAAAGTCTGATTTTGAGCCAGTTGTCAGGCATCGGAATATAAATCACGCGGCCACGGGGATTATGCCGCAACGGTCGCAAGCGTGGAAAAGGTCCCCGAGTCTCTTCCTATCAGTGCCAGATGGTCACTAAGTGAGGACCTTCCCAGCAATGACACCCTCCTGACCGTTTGGGTGCTGGACTCCAAGGGGTGGGCATCCCTAGTGGTAAGAGCCGCTCCTCGCACCCGGAACGAGCCTGGGGAATGCCCGACACCTGTCCTCCCGCTTTGCCCAGTGCTAAATCTGTCCCGTGATGTCTGCCTCTCACCGCCCTCCCCCCCCCCGTGTGGAGTTTGTTTCAGGAACAAGAGAGATGCCGCTGCCGGCAGGGCCCCCTTTTCTGGCTTGTCTAGCCTTCCGCCTCCATAGTCAGAGTGTTGTGGCCTGTGGGCCCCTCTGGGAGCCAAATCGGAGGAGGAGGGGGCGTGGGAGTCAGGGGCAACATCAGGGCAACCCGAGGGGAAGGGGGAACGGAGGTGGCAGAGAGAGAGGGAGGGAGTGGAGGCTGGGCTGTCCGTCAGCCCTCAGATGGAGACTCAACACCCCCCAGGTGATGAGAAAGAGGAGGAACAGCTGGGCCCAGTGCTTGATGTGCAGAAAGCAGAGGAGAGGAGAACAGTGGAAATCTATGGGCCGGTCCTCGGGACGGAAGAGCCACTGCTGTTAGCGAAGCCTCACCCTATCTCTGGGGGTCAAAAGCAGCGGGCAGAGATGAATAGGTGTGACAGACTACTATTCATCTCCCTTCCGGACAGACTTCTCAGCCTGCGGTGAGAAACTTTTTGCCGGGGCTGCCGGCACTCCGAACAAGGGAATCTTTGAGTTCACTTCAAAGGGTCGGTCGTGTTTTGGGGAGCTGGGTCAGAAAACAGAGACCTCCTGAATCACTGTGTGTGTGTTTGTGTGTCCGAGGGGAAGCTTCGCCTCCGTAGCCAAAACACTGTCATCAGAAACACACACGCGCACCCTCTCCGCCCCCGCGTGCAAACGTTGTGTCCTTACCACTTCTAGAAAAAAGTCGACGTGCGGCCTCTTATGTACAAAAAAACGGACCGGGTGCTTATCTATGACGACCTGGGGAAAGGAACGGTCATTAGAACGGGCACGAGAGAAAAAGGAACGAAGAGCCACGAGGGGCACGGAGAACCAGCATTTGAGCCCCCCAAAAAGGCAGGCAATCATGCCACCAACTACACCCATTTCCCGGAACCAAACTACCGAGGACCGTAGTTACTCAATGCCTTGGCATCAGCCCGTCCCGCTCTCTAAGCAGTTTACAGAGTCAGCTCCCCCAGCCCCCACCAACAATCTAGGTCCTCATTTTACCGACCTCGGAAGGAAGGATGAGTCAGCCTTGAGCCGGTCAGGATCGAACTGCTGGCAGTGGGCAGAATTGGGCTGCAATACTACATCCTAAGCACTGCGTCACCCCAGCTAACTTCATTTTTCCTTCCTTCCATTCTTCCTTCTTGCCTTTTTCTCTTCCCTTCCCTTCCCAAGCAATAGGATGTAGACTTATATCCCGCTTCAGGGTGTTTTCCAGCCCTCTCTTAAGCGGTTTACAGAGTCAGCCTCTTGCCCCCCACCCCCACCAATCTGGATCCTCGTTTGACCGACGTCGGGAGGACGGAAGGCTGAGTCAACCTTGAGCCCCATCAGGAGCAAACTCCAGGCTGTGCCACTGTGTGCCACCAGGACACCTGTGGCCCCATCAACCAAAGAATTCTGGCTGGGACGTATGTGTGTGTGCAGGAAAAGAGCATTCCTTGCCTGTGGAAGACTCCCCCCAGAAGTGGGGCAGACGCCCCCCCCTGCTCCCCAAACTCTCCTGGCTATCCATAAAGGCTTTTAAAACATGGCTCTGGGTGCATCCCCCAAATGTGGCTCTGGGGAGCACTCGGAAATTGCTCCTCACTCTGCTTTTCCATCAATTTTTAACATTCCGTTCCCTCTTTTAAATTTCATAAGACTTTTTCGATGCTTTTAACACTTTATCATATGACTCCTAGAGTCCCTTTGTGAGAGAGATGGCAAATTCATTCATGGATGGATAGATGGATGGATGGATGGATGGATGGATGAAAGACAAAAAAGTTAAGTATAAAAAGTGGGAAGAGGGAGACATAACTAAGGCAGAATATCAGCAAATAGCCCGAGCCTGTAAAGATGAAGCGAGGAAAGCTAAGGCTCACAACGAAGGAAGGCTTGCCACAAANCCCCCCTCCTCCTCTTTGGGGGCAGCCCCACAAATAGTGGAAGACGGCTATATTCTCTCCCCTGGTCCTTTTCTTCTCTCTAGACTGGCCAAACGCCATTCCTGCAGCCGTTCTTCCCGTCTTTTGGCCTTCCCCCCCAATCCCTCTTCTCTGCGTTCGTGTCCCCAGAGGTTGTGGGGGCTCCATCCCTGGAGGTTTTAAAGAAGAGGCTGGAGACCCATTGGTCTGGAATGGTGCAGGGTCTCCTGCTTGAGAAAAGGGTTGGACTAGAAGACCTCCGAGGTCCCTTCCAGCCCCACGGCTCCTACAATTACAGCTGGACACAATACCTAAGCCATCTCTGTCCGCCTCCCCCCCCCTTTGCTACCCAAATGGGGTGATAGATGAATAAACGGAAAGGGGGGGAGAACGAGGGGGGGGACGACGGCCGTAGGCCCACTGAGGAATTCTGGGAATCGAAGTCCCCAAGTCACAAAGGGGACATTGTGTACCACACACAAACACACACAAAGACACACACACAGAGTAGCAGCTACCTTTGTCTAGAATAGAGGCGACAAAATCATTTTTTTAATAGTGGGAGGAAGAAGAGGGAGGAAGCTTCGGGTGTGACACTGGAGTTCTCAGCAGCTCAACAGACAGCCACACACAAACACACCCACACACAGCACACTTGTTTGTCTCTGAGCTCAGCAGGCATCCGGTCTTTCACTTTCAAATCCTTCAGCCGCGCCCCCACCCCCACCCCGTCACTTCTAATGTGACATTAAACTACGGAAGCACCGAAAAGATATGGGGTGGGTGGGGAGAAATGATATTTGTTGGGTCAAAGAAAATCATTGTCCTATGTTGGCGTGAAATGTCTTGTGGCTGTCTCATCTAAGAAGACCCCGGGGTCAGGGGCGAAATGGCACAGGGGCTTCTGGCTCCCAGCTGCCGTTGGCTTCACTTAGCAGAACAACAGAGTTGGTGGGGACCGTGGAGGTCTTCTAGTCCAACCCTTAACCCCCCTGCTCAAACAGGAAGCCCTAGGCCATGCCAGACAGACAAACCCCTCCTGATTTAGGTTCCAGTTTTTCTCCCCTCTCCTTTGAGATCCAGAAAAGGGGGGAACCCTCCTCCGAAGGTTGGGGTGACAGAAGCCAGAAAGCACATTAATTATCCAACAGCCATGGATAATTAATGATTGATTGCTTTATAAGGAGAGAGAGAGAGGGAGGGAGACGGTGAGTGAAAGAGAATGTGAGAGTGAGAGAGAGAGAGGGAATGAGAGTGAGTGAAAGAGAATGTGAAAGAGTGAGAGAGAAAAAGAGTGAGAAAGAGTGAGGGAGTGAGAAAGGAGAGTGAAGAGAGTGAGAGAGAATGTGAAAGAGTGAGACAGAAAGAGTGAGAGAGTGAAAGAGAGAGAAAGAAAGAGTGAAAGAAAAAGTGAGTGTGAGTGAAAGAGTGAAAGATAAAGAGAGTGAGTGAAAGAGAGTGAGAAAGAGTGAAAGAAAATGAGAGAGTGAGAAAGTGAGTAAAAGAGTGTGAGAAAGAGAGAAAGTGAAAGAGAAAGCATGAAAGAAAGAGAAAGAGGGTGTGAATGAGAAAGAGAGTGAAAGAAAAATAGCAAGACAGAGTGAAAGAGAAAGAGAGAGTGAGAAAGAGAGAAAGGGAGAAAGAAAGAGAGTGAGATGGAGAAAGAGAGAGTGAAAGAGTGAAAGAGAAAGAGTGTGAGAAAGAGAGAGTGAGTGAGAAATGGAGAGTTTGAGAGAGAGTGAGAAAGAAAGGGAGAAAGAGTGAGATGGAAAGAGAGAAAGAGAGAAAGAGAGAGAAAGAGAGTGAAAGAGTGAAAGAGAAAGAGAGAGTGAAAGAAATAGAGTGAGAAAGAGAGAAAGAGAGTGAGATGGAGAAAGAGAGAGTGAAAGAGAGAGTGAGTGAGAAATGGAGAGTTTGAGAGAGAGAGTGAGAAAGAGAGAAAGAAAGAGTGAGATGGAAAGAGAGAGAGAGAAAGAGAGTGAAAGAGTGAAAGAGAAAGAGAGAGTGAAAGAAATAGAGTGAGAAAGAGAGAAAGAGAGTGAGATGGAGAAAGAGAGAGTGAAAGAGAGAGTGAGTGAGAAATGGAGAGTTTGAGAGAGAGAGTGAGAAAGAGAGAAAGAAAGAGTGTGATGGAAAGAGAGAGAGAGAAAGAGAGTGAAAGAGAGTGAGTGAGTGAGAAAGGGAGAGTGGGA